CAGCACAGTTAATGCTAATTTAGCAGCTGTTTAATCATCAGCCCAGGGAAAAAGCAATCCAGTACCTGCTCTTTAGAGAGTTAACATCCACCGTTCAGCCCTCCGAATACTGGAAGGTTGACTGTGTTCCATACCTTAGGGAGAGGCAATGTGCCTTAGTGAAGAGTTCATAGCATTTAGAAGTAATGAACCTGGAAGACTCCACCATGCTTGCAACTGTTGGACAATGGCCTCAGAACCTCTGTTTTCTCAACACCACAGTTTTGTTGACAAGATTAAATGTTAATGTAACTTTTAAAATAGTATGCTAATGCCCAGAGATCGAACCTGCTTGTAGATGCACAGAAACATTTTTCAGACGACTAAAGAATTCTTAATTGAGGAGAGGAGGAGAGGAGGAGGGCATAGGGGAGCTGCTCAGGTAAAATTTGTGCTGTGCACATGTGTCAAATTCAGGTTTAAAATATCCACCTGTTCATTTTTAATAAAATAATACCCAGTAACAAAACACGCTTTCTTATATTTTTTATTTGTGTAAATATTTAGGTCTATGGACCAACTTAGGGAAGTATTCTAAAATGAAATACCAATGCTAGCTGTACATTATTTTTTGAGAAGGTAAGAAGCTATAATTAAGTCCCATGCATGTCATTGGGACCATATCTAAGTGGCAATGAAAGGTATCCTGCGTGAAAGGCTATGATTAAGAGGAGGAGGAAGAGAGAATAAAACCAGCCTTTTAGTTATAATGTGAGGAAGGAACGTAGACACTAGGAAATACTTCTCTGACATTTAGGGCTTTCTCACAAATAGAATTATAACACAGAATTCTTCCCCAGAGGTCTTTAAAAGTAGTTTATAACCTCATCTTTTTGCTCCTGGCAATTTTACTTATGATAATAAAAAAATCCAAATGACCAATAGGAGGGAAATTGTTGGGTAAATTACAGTACTTTACTCTATAGAATATTTAGATAGCCATTAAAATTAAAATATGAGAGCTATATAACAGCACATTAAAATTCCTATGGTTGGATACTTAGTGAAGAAGGTGCACAATTTTATCTATAATATGATTACTGTTATATAAAAATTAGATTTGAATGCAAATTCAGATTGGAAAAGAACCCAGAAAAATAAAAGCAATTGATGGTATTACATGGTACTCTTGTGGCAGGGGGGATAGAATTGTTTTCCAGTTATTTAAGTGTAATAAGTAAAAATATGTCTTAAAGGTGTTCATCTCTCTTGAAATTGTAGCTGTGGTTTTCATTGAGGTCCTGAAGATAAAGCCCTCTGCAGTCTTCTGAGGCCTAATTTTTAGTAGCATGAGATGCATAATTTCAGACAACGGAGTCCTGCTCTGGTGCTCCCGAGTTGCAAGGAGGGTGGCATCAGAGGGTCACATTCCAAAGCATCACTGGCCTCCATTAAAACCTAATTTATGAAATTGAAAATTAATCTTATGGAAATGGATTTAAGCAGTCTTATCATTTGGATGTACTTGGTCTAATTGACTTGGGAGTAACATAGCTTTAGCTTTCGCTGCTATTGCATATTTAAAAAGATAAAATCTGATGTGTCCTCCTGTGTTTATGCTGCTGGGAAACAACCTACAGATGAGAGCGTTCAAACATCCACATGGTAGGTAGTCTGCCCAGCAAAGATCCCAGCAAAGGGAAGCTGCTCAATGAAGTCACTCCTGACGATGAATCCACTGTAACCAGACGCCCTCAGGGCAGGCCAGTAACTGCCTCCTTTAGTGAGAAGAGCAGATAAAGGCCAGGCTGTGGAACCAGAAGGGGAAGATGAGATGGCCGAATCCAGGCTCCTTCCTTCCCAAGTTAACGTGGCACTCTTATTTGAATATAGGTTCTGCCCTTATCCTTGGTTTTGCTTTCCGTGGTTTAAATTACTGGTGGTCAACCTTAGTCAAAAAATATTAAATGGAAAAAAACAATTCATTCTATTTAAATTATGTGCCTTTGTGAGTATATTGAATTCTCATATGCTGTCCTGCTTCAACCAATCCAGGATGTGAATCATCCCTTTTTCCAGTGTGTCCACACTATGTATGCTCTCCCTCACCCCCTCAGTTACTTAGTAGCCTTTTTTATTATCAGATCGACTATGGAGGTATCAAAGTGCTTGTGTTCAAATAACCCCTATTTTACTTAATAATGGCCCCAAAGCACAAATAATGCTGGCAATTCAGATATGCCAAAGAGAAGCCCTAAAGTGCTTCTTTTAAGTAAAAAGGTATGTGTGTGTAGGAAAAAACACAGTACTATCCACTGTTTCAGTCATCTACTGGGGATCTTGGAACGTGGATAAAGGAGGGCTGTTGTATTTGCTTTCATAGTATTAAAAAGGTTTTATGAGGGTGTGTCTGGTTCTTTCCAGGTTGAAAACTACATTGACTTGGACATTTTAAATGTTCTACATTAATGCTTACACACAAGCACAGAAACACATATATAAATGCATGGATATATTCTGTGGCAGCTGTGAGAACATGCTGACAGGTCCCTGACGACAGAGAGAGTAATTGACCAGGGACCCCAGCAGCTGCACTCTGAAATCTATTACCGTGTTGGCAACAGGCCACGCTGGCCAGGGCTGCTCCAGTCAGTGACTGAGCTCGACAGGAGTACTGAGGTAGACCTACCCCTGGTAGACACAGGGGCCCTCTGACAGCCGACTTTGGATCCCCGACAGCTTTGCCAAACCTTCTTTAGACTACGAGGCAGTCAAGAACTCTTTTGCCCAACTTTGTACACTTTCTTCTCTATGGGGCCAGACTTGCAACACAGTTTCTTACATTTTCTCTCCTAATAAACTTCTTGCATGTTTAATCCCATCTTGGCATCTGCTTCATATAAACATATTTAAGGTGTCCCCAAAAATGTATACATACATTTTGAGTAATTATAAAGGCATTGTTTATTAAAATACATATCATTTTCAAAATTAAGCTATCAGCTGTTAAAGTGTGTATACATTTTTTGGGACACCCTATATATGCATATATATTTAAATTGGAATCATCTGATGGGCTCTAGTTGTGTCCAAATTTTGCCATTATAAAAATATCCATCTAGCCCCACCGGCATGGCTCACTGGTTAAGCGTTGACCTATGATCCAGGAAGTCATGGTTTGATTCCCAGTCAGGGCACATGTCTGGGTTGCAGGCTCCATCCCTAGTGTGGGGTGTGCGGGAGGCAGCCAATCAATGATTCTCTCTCATCATTGAAGTTTCTATCCCTTTGTCCCTCTCCCTTCCTTTCTGAAATCGATAAAAATATATTTTTTAAAAATATAACTATCCCTTTTTTCAATGATATTGCTACTTCTTTGGGGGATTTTTACAGAAACTATACCCCAGTGAATGTCTCTTGCTGCAATACCTCCAAAGAACTCACAGAGCAAATGCTAGATTTCAGAGTGTAGCAGCTGGGATCCCTGGTCAATTACTCTTGCTATATCTACCACTTCTTTTCTATATGGATAGCATTTTGGATAGAATTAAGAGTTTTTTCTGGCAAATGAACCCCAAGCCTTCTGTGTGAATGTGCAGATGGGGAAGTGAGGAGCTACTCCCCCACAGCATTCTGCCACATTCCAGGGAAGCAGGAAGACAAGGGTTTGGGCCACATCTTCAATCTCTTCATTCTTCCCTGCCCACCACCACTCTTGACTGGGACTCTCTTGTCACATATCAGAGTTCTTGATTGCAAGCAACTGGAATAGATTCTGTATCACTTACGCAAAAGAGAATTTGTTGGAAAAGTTTGGGAACTTACAAACCTATGAGAAGCTGAAGGATCAATCCTGAGGGAGCCCCAGGGCGGGCCTGTAGGATTCAGATCCTGGAAGAGAGATTCCCACTGAGCCCCTCTGTGGCAAGGAGAGCTTCAGTTTCTTTACAGCAGGCAGGTGCCTCAAATTTCACTCCGACTAACACAGAACCTAGTGGACTCAGTGATGGCTCAAAGTGAGTTTCCCTAAATAAGATTTAGGTGGAAAAAGGACTCTCAAGGAAGATAAGGTGGTAGGACCATTAAGAGAAATAAAGTGAGATATATATATATATATATATATATATATATATATATATATATATATCCCCTAATATACTGGGGAAATTTGGTAAAAGGAGAAATAAATGTCAGGCAGAAAAATATAACTTAAATAAATAATAAGTTTCCAGCACACACTTTTTTATACATTTGCATAGTCTGTGAGGGTGTAGACGTTCAGAGACTGGCCACAGCTATTGGGTGATAGATTAGTTTTTGCCCAAGTGAACGTTTTCTGATTGAGACAGAGCCTAACTGTTGCCAGGAGCCTGTTTGAACTATTTCGGCCCCTGAGCTTTATTTCCATCCAAGGGCTTGGGGTTCTGTTTTACTGTCCAAAACCAAAGTGTTGTCATTGCAAGGACAGCAGCACCATCCATCAGTTTCTCTTCAAAGGTCCCTCGCTTACCTTCTCCAGCTTTGCTGTGGGCTTACTGGCTCTCCACACAGGTCTTTTGTTTGTTTGTTTGTTTCTGTTTTAGGCTGATTCCCAAATGTGATAGCACAGTACTATCAACAAATGGAAAGGCTGAGAAGCCGTCCAGAAAAAATGATCAATGAGGTTTCACTCTCTCCCTCCCTGAATCCATATCACTCTCTTTTCCTTCATAGAAGTGTCCCTTTGCTTCGTTTTCTTTCTCTTAATGGCCCTACCACCTTACCTTCCTTGAGAGTGCTTTCCCATCTAATTCTTATTTAGGGAAACTCATTTGAGCCATCACCGAGCCTGTTTGCTCACTGCAAGCAGAAGTAGATGCCCTTGGAAAGTAATCAGAAAGTGAGAGTGTATACGAGATGAGCTTAGCTTCGGGTGAGGAAAAAAAACACTTCAGATACAAATGGAACTTGAATTCATGGAAATAAATTTCGAAAGAGGAATGTTTAGGTTGATAGGTAATGTGCCAGTATTGTCATTCCAGGTAAAGATGGCCTTGCAACAAGAAGGATTCCAACGGAAAAAGCGAGGGTATAGAGATATCAATGAGATCGATATCAACATGAATGATCCTCTTTTTACAAAGCAATGGTATCTGGTAAGTGTCTCTGTATTGTTCCTAACGTTTCTCATTTTGAGACTTCGGATACAAAATGCATTTCCATTTCCTCATTATTCTTTGGGACATTAGCCAGCATCCGACTCTGTGAACTGCTCTGTCCCCTCTGATCCGTATTGATTTTCTAGCACCACCCAAGCATCTCATTCCTTAATCTGCTTTCTTCTTAACTGCTAAGTAGCCATGGCCTCCTAGGGTCAAAGCAGCTACCCAAAGCAGATCAGATTCTCCCAGGCTCTGAAAAGTGTGCCAGTGTATGTATAAATGAAGATGCAAAAACATGTAAAGGTCAACTCAAAGGTCTGGGAAGAGTTATGTGGGGTCTCAACCGTCAGAGTAACAGTAGGACATGATGAAACCACAGACATAAGACAAAGAATCAGGTGACTACACAAGAGAAAAGCAAGAGACCTCGAAAACTAAAGTAGCAGAAGTAGCATCTATCAGTGTTTCCTCAAATAATGGTAGGAAATCAGTTTCATGGTACTTAATTGATGCAGGATTCAAGGCAGGGAAACCCATCTGTCTGGTAGTGAATATTTTCTGGCTCACCAAGAGTCCGTCCATTTGGATGGGTTGAGTTATGTTGAAAAAGTTCTCAAAGCCTCCAAGCAAACCAAACTGCAGGGCATATAGAGGGGAAATGAGTGACTAATTTATCAATGTGAGTGAAGCTTTATTTAAGATTAAAATATGTTGAGCAAAAGAGAAAATAAATTATGACCCATGGGCTGCTACTTTATAGGAATACACCACAAACCCCTCTTTTGGGGCTTTAGAACTTGACTATGCCTTATGCCCTTATGCTTTGGGACATGGAATTCTAAAAATTCCATTTGGGTAACTAAATAAAATTATGTGTACAGTCAGCCCTTCATATCCACAGGTTCCACATCCACAATTCAACCAACTAGGGGTTGAAAATATTTAAAAAATAATCCCAGAAATTTCCAAAAGGCAAAATTTTAATTTGTCACATGCAGAGCACTATGCTGAATCCACAAAAATGAAGTGTAGGCATATCTGGCTGTAACCTATATGCAAAATGTAAGTTATATACAAATATCAAACCATTTTATGTAAGGGACTTGAGCATCCATGTATTTTGGGGTTCTGTAACCATCCCCTCAATACAAAGGGATGACTATATTAGTCAGAATAGGCTATGTTTCTTGCAATAACAACCCTCAAATCACAGTGGCTTAATAAAATCAGTTTCTCACTCATGCTATGCCGCCAATGTTTCGTAATCCATCAGGGACTCAGGCAAATCAAACTCCATCTCCACTCCATCTTGATCCCAGCTTTCATGAGCACATGAGGGAAAGGAAGGGGAAAATTGCACAATGGTTCTTAAAGCTTCCACATAGATGTGACAGATGACACATAAGCTCATATTCTATTAGCCAAAATCAGTCACATGGTCATTCTCACTTCCAAGGGAATGGAGAGGTATAATCTTAACAAATGCCTGGAGGAGAAGAGTGGCCATTTTTATGAAGAGCATTATGACATTCACACAATGTTTTAGCAACACTGTAAAGGCCAATTGGCCACTGTGAGTTTCTGCCAATACAAACTCTGATGTCACTATTTTTTTATGACTCATCTTTGAGAAAATCTGCACAGGACAAAGATGCATGCAAAGAGGGTAGTGAGCACATTTATTTGGGATTTTTTTCCCTTTGTTTTCCTTTATTTCATCTTTGGATTTTTTTTTTAAATATATATTTTATTGATTTTTTACAGAGAGGAAGGGAGAGAGATAGAGAGTTAGAAACATCGATGAGAGAGAAACATTGATCAGCTGCCTCCTGCACATCTCCCACTGGGGATGTGCCCGCAACCCAGGTACATGCCCTTGACCGGAATCGAACCTGGGACCTTTCAGTCCGCAGGCCGACGCTCTATCCACTGAGCCAAACCGGTTTCGGCACATCTTTGGATTTTTTAAGGGGGAGAATATGCACTAAAGTTGAGCCAGCTATCTTCAATTCAGCTCAACAAATATTTTTAAAGCAAGATTGGTGTGGTCGTATTGAAATCACAAAGGTAAATAGATCATCTCCCTCTTGTAAAGGATATTGTATGTAGTAAGGAAATCATATTCACGTAAGAATAATCCCAAACAATATGTGCTAAATTCAAAATGTGAAGTATAAATCAAGAACTACAAAAGCAAGCACTTAATTCTAAACTGAGGAGGGTTTCTGGAAATGGCAGCTCTACGGAGTTTAAAGATCACAACCTGGTCATAAAAGATGGGAGGATTGAAACTGTGTTTGCATACTTATAAAAAATATAAAGCGTTAACAGTGTATATCAAAAAATTAAAGGAGGCTGGAAGAGGTTGGTGGGGGGATGCCCAGAAGTATTGGTTCAGGGACGATGTGGCCTCTGAGCTGGCCCTGGACTAGCAGACGGCTGTAGAGCATGTGAAACAAACATTTACACAGGTGCTTTACTCCACCAAACTAATAAGATTCTCTGCTTGGAATTCCTGTACCAGATCAATACTGGACAAGCCGATGGCACTCCTGGCCTTGATTTGAATGTGGCAGAAGCCTGGGAACTGGGCTACACAGGGAAAGGTGTTACCATTGGAATTATGGATGATGGTGAGTTTTTCAATGCCTTTACAGCATTTGTAAGCCAGTGTGTCTTTGCAGTGCTTCGGAATATAAGAGAGTCCTTCTTTTGGAGGCAGAATAGCCAGATGTTGGGCCTGATAACCATTTATATTGTGGCCAAACTTTCACCTTTCTCCAAATCCATGGCCCTCAAATTTGAGGATACCCTTAACAAATATTTGTTGAATTAATAAATTAAATAAACTGATGAAATCTGATCATCCTGCAACTTTAATTTCTTATTAAACCACTGCTTATACTTTACCTTAAAACATCTTCCAAACCTCTTTATATTTACCATCTATTTCTCTAGATCCACACTGTCCAATGTACTAGCCACTAGCCATATGTGGCTATTTACATTTAACCTTTAATTAATTGACACTAAATAAAATTAAAAATTCAACTCCTAGCTTCATTTCAAGTTCTCAATAGCTACATGGATCTAGCAGCTGCTGAAATTCAAGCCAAAAACTCCATTTTTATCATCACAGAAATTTATATTAGATGTGTGGCTCTAGATCCATGAAATAGCTTTTTAGCAGCAGGATTGGGCTTTGGAGAATTTTTTACTTTATTGTTACTTTCAGAAGGAGCCCTTATAAAGCAGACTTTGATAACATTTTATGATGCATGACCCATAGAACATATTATCCTATCCCAAACACCTGCCAGATAAAGATTTAACAGAGCTTTATTTTCAGTAGTTTTTGATATGAAAGCCAACAGGTTGGGTGAATTGTTTTTCTAATGACACATGTCCTTGGCTCTGCCAAGATCCTGGAGTATCTCCGCCCTGTAGTCATCTCATTGGGGATGTACTATCTGGGTCTTCATTAGCTGTCTGGGTCTCCCAGTACAAGTGCCACTGTGCAGTTTTGGCCCAATTACATATAAAGACTAGACAAAGATGAAACAGCGGAGGGAGCCTCTCCCTTCTGAAGATCCTCAAAGAACACTATGTTCTCTAAAGCAAGCCTTTGAAACAGAATTGATGGGAAAACAAGGGTAGCCAGAGTGATTAAAATTGCTGCTGTCTTTGTGTGGGCTCATTAAATAGCAACATAAAAACAATGCCTCCCTGTTTTCTGAAGTGTTCCACGTTTTGAAGTGGATGTAAAAGCTTTCTCCAGCAGCTGAGGGTTTTCACAAGAAGAAAGGAGCTCTGCACAGGAGTGTCTGTGCACCGTGCCTGGAGCTGAGACAGTCTCTTCCTTCCTGATGTTTTGCTTTAGAAACTGAAGCGGCTGACGCCAGCTCACCCACGAGAAAGAGGCACCCAGGTTTGGGGAAAACCTGCCTAGGACATATTGTAATGACCATTTCCTACAGCATATCTACTGTGGACTCCCTGTTGGGTATCAGAGAAGCGCCCTAAAAGTGGCACCACAGTGACAATAGACAGGCACACTGCTCTTATGAAACCTCCATCAGCCCTATGATGCCTACTTCAGGACTCTTTAACTGTAACCCCCTCGCTTAAGTGTCCATCGTCCCTTCCAAAGATAGCAAAGATGACTCCAGCCTTTGCTCCATGTTTCCCGGCTTGCAAGGCCAAGTCCTTCAGAAAGTTTTGACAGAATTTGATTTGTGTTATTTCTTCTGCTGATCAGTGGCTATTGGGATTCCAAAAAAAAAAAAAAAAAGGCAAATTCTCTGCCTCCCAATTAAAACTCCTAGCTTCTCCATTGTTTTGGTCACCTACTAATGCAGAACAAATCACCCCAAAATTAAGTGGCTTTAAATAACCGCCATGTTGTTCTCTCTCACAGTTCTGTGGATTGCCCAGGCTCAGCTGGACAGTTCTGCTGCTGGCCTTTCTGGGGTCTCTCGTGCAGCTGGGGTCAGAAGACGGCTGGGACTGGATGCAACTGGCGGTTCCCTCCAGCTCCATGCAGTCCCAGCCTCTCCACTCCATGTGGAGAAGTAGATGGATTTTTACAGATGGCTCAGAGTTCCCAAGAACAGGCATTCAGATGTTGGCTGGGCTGTGGTCATCAGAAGGTTTGACTGAGCTGAACATCCAAGATGGCTAATAGTTGATGCTGGCTGCTGCTGGGGCTCAGCTGTCAGAGTGACTGACTACACATGGGATTCTCCCATGGCAGCCTGCTTCCGGAAGAGTCAGCAAGTGTCCAAAGGAAACAGGTGGAAGATGCCTGGCCTTTTTTGACTTACCCTTGAAAGTCATATCTTCTATAACTTATTTGCAGAAGCAACCACATCCCAGTCAGACTGAAGAAGAAAGAATAGACTTACCTCTAAATCAGGGAGGAGATGACCTTGTCATACTGTAGAATACCATATGGGATCGGTGATACTGAACCACCACCTTTGAAGATACAATTAATCCATTGAAGTCTACTCCTCAGCAGCATATAAGTCCACAGGGATGGTGCAAGGGGCTAGCTTTCTTAGAACAATGAAAGTAACTGGGCTTAGGACCAGTAATACATCTCAACTGAACTATTGCCATTCTAACTAGGAAGATGTACATGGAGCTCCTTGCTAATTCCCTGCAGTCTCTGGAGCTTCCTGGGAATTTGGACTATTGTGGATTAGACTTCAAACTAGCGGCAGATACTAATGGTTTATGAACAAAAATATAACCAAATATTTTTAATCTGTGCCCCACACTCATTATAATTGGCTGATGAGTAGGTGCCCCCACAGATCATGAGCCATAGCTCAGGTTCAGTGTCCAAATTGTCTGTTTTTTTCCAGGACCTACATAAGGTCTATCAGTCATTGCTGAAAATAAACAAATACATGAAAAATAAGATTGAATATATTACTAATACAAGAAGTGAAAAAATAAGCTGATTTAGAAGATGTATTCAGTATATTTCCCTGAATATAAAACATACAAAACTCTTAAAATACTATTTAGTTACCAGGTTATCATTTTCTTGCTTCAGTTCATTTTTATTTTTCTGGATCGTGTCTGTCATCCTTCACAATTCTATAAATACTTTCTTTCTCAGACTAAAGTCTGTATCTGTTCTAACTTAACACCTGGTCTTCCCCATAACCTAATTAAAGATTTTTATTTAATTGGGCTAAATTTATCTTGTTTTAATTCTAATTTCCTTCTGGTCTCAGATTACCTCTTTGCTTCAATATTTTCCCTTCACAGAGAAGAGACTACTATTTCTCCAAAAATTCCCCTTCTAAACAACTTGCACTCTCAGAACATGGGGTCATGTTTTAAAAATTGACTCATTTCTAGAAAAAATGTTCTCTGTGTGTGCATCTGTGTGTTTGTCATTTTTCTTTTGCCTTACCTGTATGTTACAACATTTTTTGCCTAACAATGAGTTCACAAAATTTAACAAATTTTAGCAAATATATACAACAATTTAATTCCAACACAACAATTTAAGACAGCGGTTCTCAACCTGTGGGTCGCAACCCCTTTGGGGGTCAAACGACCCTTTCACAGGGGTAGCCTAAGACCATCGGAAAACACATATATAATTACATATTGTTTTTGTGATTAATCACTATGCTTTAATTATGTTCAATTTGTAACAATGAAAATACATCCTGCATATCAGATATTTACATTACGATTCATAACAGTAGCAAAATTACAGTTATGATTATGAAGTAGCAACGAAAATAATTTTATGGTTGGGGGTCACCACAACATGAAGAACTGTATTAAAGGGTCGCGGAATTAGGAAGGTTGAGAACCACTGTTCTAAGACAGTAGATTTTTTTAAATGTTCTGTTCTTCAGCATTATCCATATACCTCTAGCGATATGCTAGATAATGGTACTAACGATGAGGATAGAAACATAATTTATCAAGCACCTACTACAAGCTAAACACTTTTGATGAATTGGCTCTAATCCTGAAAATTGCTTTGCAAGGTAAATAATATCTCTATTTTAAAGATGAAAAAACTGAAGTTCCAAGAGATTATGTCATTTAGCCAAAGTCACACAAATATTACAGTGTCTGAACCTGAAATGGTACTGGATCTGTTGGTCCCATGGCCCAGGCTCATCCCCAACACAACCTAAACTTACCATCTCTAAATTAGAGTCCAGAACATGGGTCTGCAAACTTTTAAATATTTGTCTTTAAGGCTTCTAACCCCTGTCTCTCTGCAGTCCTTGAGAGAGGAATAGGGGGAGGGGGAGGAGGGGGAGGATATTGGGCAGGAAGTGGCCAGCTATACTCTCCCAAGATATAGAAATCAGCATGATAACAGTAATTGTTTCAGATGTCAAAATATCAGCAGCAAGATATGAAACATGTTAGAGCAGCTTTCCCGAGAACAGTGATTGCTAGTCTAAAAAGTACTTACCAGAAATGACTTGTGCAACAAAAAAAACAAAGGAAAACTTTTTTTACAAATACAGTTGACCCTTGAAGAATGCTGGCTTGGACTGTGTGGGTCCACTTATACGTGGGTTTTTCTATTGGTCAGCACAGTTCAAACTCTCTTTCTTCAGGGGTCAACTGGTGGTTGGGAATCCACATACGTGGAGGACCGACTTAAGTTATATGCAGATTTTCAACTGCCCAGCAAGTTGGCTCCTCTAAACTTTGTTGTTCAAGGGTCAACTATATACATCCTGATATAAGTTCCTTTTTGCAGAACAAAGCTATAGCTGTGACCTGACTTTGGTATGCATGCAGTAAAGATGACAGCTATACAAGAGGCTGAATAATACTTCTGGCTTTTAAATATTGCAACCCAATAGAGTTGTTAAATGCCACCATTACAAGCACACCACACTGTTCTCACCTCCACTAGATCAAGAAGAAAACAAGCATATAGAAGCCATGCGCTTTCCCTGAAGTCATGCAGCCAGTTGGCAGCGTGGCTGGGATTCAAATTCGAATCTTTGATTCCAAAACCTACACTTACAACCATTATACTAGGTAGTGCAGGAGCCTGGCTGGTTTCTTGGAGGGCTAGATGCTCAGATGAAATGAAACTGCAATGATTATATGGCTCTCAGACCTGGAGGAAAACTTCAATTTGTCCTTGAAGTTCCAGGGTGCTTTCTGAGGCTCACGAGTCTGATGGAGGCTAGCAACTCATGGACCATAATTCTACCACAGGAATGACTATTGGGCAACAAGGTAGTCCACATGCAGGAGAAAGCACAGGACCCCTGCAGGGTGATTCAAGGTCTCAGCTTCCAGGAAAGCCACATTCTGGAAAGACAAGTATCACCTCCCACTTGGGACACATTGCAGGAGACCATTTCGCTTTTCTTGCCCAGCTATGTTACTCTTATTACTTCTATGCCAGAGAACCCTCTACTAATCCATTGCTTTCCCTCCCTCGGGCCAGTTTCATTTCAAAAAAATGCCTGTTGCTGCTTTAGAAATGTCAGGATTTCCACAAATCTCTCTTGCATCACTGCCCTGATGAGCCATCAATCTTAAACACACTAAGCCCCTTTGTGCTGACATTTACGGCAGAAGTGTTATCCTGAGGCTCCAAGCTCTAATTGGCTTCCCTCCTCCAATGCATCTGGTGGCAGCTGTCTCTTCACTTGGGCGGTGCAACCCACCCACCCTCACTCAGGAAGCGAAACACAAGGCTGGGGCCTCAGGCACAGTGTATCCTGGGTGCAGCACATGAGATCTTTCTAGAGCAGCTTTCCCGAGGACAGTGGCAGGTATTAACCTTTCACTCCTGTGCTATTGTCTTTTCACAGGGATTGACTATCTCCACCCAGACCTGGCCTCGAACTACGTAAGTACAAGCTGACCTGTGTGGGGAAACATGTGCACCTTAGGTGTTCTAGTGTCCCTTGTTATTAGGAACATACACATGCACATTTACACATACATGCATGCACACTAAAACTGCCCATCTTGTTAGAGCCACAGCTCAGGCCAAAGACAAACAGACAGGGTATGGAGCCTAGCAGCAGAAAAAACTAGTGGCTTTCTAAGAAGAAAAGCAGGAAACTTGAGGTCTGAAAGGTACAGGGAGGGGCAAATATGAGGGAGGTTTAAAATCAACTCTAGCTGAGGATAGTAGTATTGAATTGAAGGGTGGAAATGAGCCTGTTGGGTTTTTGCTGGATGAAACTGATGGCAAAATGCCAAAAAGTGCAGCAACTCACGTTACATCCATAGCTGTATGAAAGCAAGAACATCATCTTTTTTATTATTGCTGTGTTTATGAGCCCTGCACACTGACTTGCCCCCCAGCACTATGTAGAGCATTTAGTTTCCCTTGACAGGTAATAAATATTAACAGGAAGGCACGGGAAATGCTGTTGGACTAAAACCACATGCTCTGACTTTGACCCAGCAAGTCACTCTGCTTCCCTGAAGAAACCTACAAACCCTTTAAAGATAAGTGATCCCTTTCTTTTAACCCCAGGGGAGCCTCTATTCGAGCATTGGTGTGTTCACTTAAAATTAAGTAAACTATTACTAAGCAATACTTCTATAAGCTGCAGAGCTAAGTATTCAGAATGTTATTTGAGTAGCTGAAGAGGTCATACTGAAGAGAACGTGAACTTCAATAGAGAAAAGAAGTGTTTTGGGATCAACAGCCTGGGTCACTCACCCTAGAGCAGTGATGGCGAACCTATGACACGCGTGTCAGAGGTGACACGCGAACTCATTTTTTTGGTTGATTTTTTCTTTGTTAAATGGCATTTAAATATATAAAATAAATATCAAAAATATAAGTCTTTGTTTTACTATGGTTGCAAATATCAAAAAATTTCTATATGTGACACGGCACCAGAGTTAAGTTAGGGTTTTTCAAAATGCTGACACGCCGAGCTCTAAAGGTTCGCCATCACTGCCCTAGAAAGTGTGTATCGACAATGCAAAAAGAGAACAGAGGTTTTCCACGTGTTCAGTGCATTGAGCATTAGGAAACAGAGCACCCATGGGCCGGGTTTCTCTTTACTGCAGGAGTCTTATAAATCTACAAGAGTATACATAGGGCTGAGCATCTTTTTAATAATTAAAAAGAAAATTAAATGAATCATTGGCACCGTCCAGACAAAGTGGGCCCAGAGAGACATGACAAAAATTAATCCGAAGCTCTGTTCCAAGAGATGAGACTCCACTCCTGTAGACAAGACAATAAAGAACCACTTATGAGTTGCAAGCTCTGCCTCAGTGGTCCATCTGCAGAGTCTTAGGAAACATTTCTCCTCGCCTTCCTGTGTCCTTTCTCCCCTCCTGCAAACACACGTGGAGCTGTCTGCCTGGCTGTCCCTTTTGCCTCCTTAAAGGGACTGCCGCACATAGAGCCTTGTTTGCCTCCTCTCATGCCATCCCTTTCTCTGTCTCCCCAATAGCTGCAGGGCTCTGGAGAGTTCTCCCAAAGGGAGACTGAGAAATGCTTGGGTTGTGTTTTCTCCAGCGCTGTGATACCCACAGGCTTTTCTTACACAGAAATGGCGGGGGTGGTAGCCTGTGGAGGTGCACACAGAGACATTATTAGTATTCTCCCCTGGCTGCACAGGCTTCCTGCCATCTCCAGGACCCAGCACCTCGCAAAGCCACCAAACAGGGCTCTGCTCACTTTTGCAGACCAGTGTTGCTCCATCTTGCAGCTTGTAGGACTTCAAGGTCAGGTGTCTGCTGGTCGGGCTGGAAGACCTCTCACTCCTGCCAGTCCAGTCCCCACCAAAGCCACTTACACAGGGACTAACCTGGGCCTCCTTCCCTGCTCTCTGCCCAGCCCCGCTGTTTCTGTGAAGGGCTGATCCCAATACCAATTGTCAGATTAAAAGAGATAATAATTCAAGAGGGGGGAAAAATTCCCTGGGGCTCTGATGAACTGCAGATACAATGCTAATTAACCTTGAGATTCTGCCAAAACCAGTAAGCTGAAATGGGAAAGTAAAGCATCCAAATTGAAAGGTACTAGCTCCTCTCAACTCTGTGATATCAGAATATACCTGAAAGACTCTGTGGGTTCTATGAGTGTCGTGTTCATTTCTGTGTGCGTATTTTTAATGAAACTGGGCTCTGTGGCATATACAGTATGCCCCCTTCCACCTGATACCTCATGAACACTTTTATATCATTAAATACTCTTCAAAACATGATTATAGGGCTATACAGATTTTACTCATGCTGCATTGTATTTAAATTTTCCAATCCCCAATTGTTGGACAACTAAATTGGTTCTAATGGGTGCCTCATTCCAAGAGGAAGAGTGACAGATAGACAAGGTACCAGAAGGGCTCTGAACTATAGCCTACTAAGGAAAGCTGAAAGATTGGGGATGGGGGAGGGGGTTGACAACTTAAGAGGCACATTAAATATGTTTTCTAATAGTTCCTATTCTCCAATGCTCTATGTGGGATGAGGCATTCAACTAATTCAGTAATTACTCCCAAGAAAATTCCCACCAAAGGATGACAACTGCAGGAGAAAGATTTTGGTTCAGTTAAAGGAGGAACTGTTTAATGATTAAGGTTGATAAATAAAAGGAATTAGCTGTCCCATTAAGTAATGAGTTCTCCATATCTGAAAATGTTCAAGAGGAGTGTTGGCCTGGCAGGTGTTGCTCAGTGGTTGGAATGTCAATTGGAGCACCGAGGGGTCTTAGGTTTGATTCTGGGTCAAGGGCATGTGCCTGGGTTACAGGTTTGATCTCGGCCTGGTCGGGGTTCATGCATGAGGTGGCCAATAGATGTGTCTCTCTCACATCAATATTTTCTCTCTCTCTCTCTCTCTCTCTCTCTCTCTCTCTCTCTCTCTCTCTGTCTCCCCCCCCCCTCTCTAAAAATCAATGGAAAAAATATCTTGGAGTGAGGATTAACAAAAAAAAAAGAGGAGTATTGATGGCCAGTTGGCAGGTATGTGTTGTTGAGGAGTTGACAATGTCTACACTAATCTTAGAGCAGATGACATCTAAGAATTGAACAGAAACTTCAATACAGAGGAAGGTCCTAGTCTTCAATATTTATTAAATACTTGGAACCTTACAAAAATTATGTAACTGATTACAAATTTTGTAATATAATATTCTCTCACCCTGGCTGGTGTGTCTCGGTTGGTTTTGGATTCGAAAGGTTTTGGATTTGACTCCTGGTCAGGGCACATACCTAGGTTGTGGGTTCAGTCTCTGTTTAGGCTGCATACTGATCGATGTTTCTCTCTCTCTTCCTTTTTCTCCCCTTTTCTCTCTCTAAAATCCTTGGGTGAGGATTAAAAATGTTTTCTCTGTCTTTGGTATAAGTGAGAAAACTGAACATCAAGTACCTCATTCTTAATTCCTCAGCAGAGAACCTGAGCCTGAATTGCTTTGTTCAGTCTCTGTGTCTCTCTTACTCTGTGTAGAGACTGACAGCTTTAAAGCTACTAACCAACTTTATCATCTTTATTTTTAATTGAAAATTTTACACTATAATTAACAGAATGAGGATGGCAAGTGGAGTAGACCTGCCCAGGAGAACAATGAAATCAGTGGACGGTGATAAGCTCAAAAATTGTTTGAGCAAAGGATTAACAGACAGCTTCACACCTTGTTAGGTGACTTAATGGTTTGGATGTGATAGGCTAGCCTGGTGCCCTCCTAGTGAAATGTACTTTGGGGAGGTCTGTGTTTGAGTTCCTTCACAAGCAAACCTGAGACAAGGGTTTGAGTGCAAGTAGTTTATTTGAGAGGTGATCCCAGGAAGCAAGAATAGAGGGAGTAATGAGATATGGAAGGGGAAGCAGCTAATAAATGGTACATTATCAAACCAGGGAGCAGCTGGAACTTCATCCCACTGGGAAGTCGGGGACAGTGTAGAATAAGTGCCAGTTATCCCACCCAGGACGGGATACCCAAGGAAGTGGGAGTATTTTTACAGCAACTTCTGTCAATCATTGGTTGAGGGCTGGTCCCAGGAAATGTTAAAATCCCAGACATCCTACCTTCCCACAGCCCTTGTCAAAGATGCAGGTAGGCAGCCAGAACTCACCAGGGTGATAGGCCAAAGCTAAATGGGCTGGGTGCTGGCAACATTTGCCTCGGTGAGGATGACTTGGAAATTTATTAAGGGTTAAAATAAACAGAAATGGGCTGTGTTGGGGAAATTCCTTTTTGCTACAGATTATTTTTAGTGAGAAGTAAAAACTCTAGCAGAGGCTTTTAGACAAAAATGACAAAAATTTCTTCATAATCAAACTAGACACACTGTTTCCCAAACAAGAAATGTTTTCAAAGCTTGTTTTTTTCCATATATTAAAAGAGAAGATGCCCTAGCTGGTTTGGCTCAGCATCAGCCTGGGGACTGAAGGGTCCCGGGGTTCGATTCTGGTCAAGGGCACATGCCAGGGTTGCAGGCTCGATCTCCAGTAGGGGCCCTGCAGGAGGCAGCCGATCAATGATTGTCTCTTATCATTGCTGTTTCCATCTGTCTCTCCCTCTCCCCTCCTCTCTGAAATCAATAAAAATATATTTTTTAAAAAAAGAAGAGATGAGTCAGAGTATACTGGTAGTCTGGTGTTCTTTCTATTTAAACTGAGAATTAAAATCCTTTGAAAGCTGCAAATCAATATATAAATGTAAGTTGTTAGTGTTAATTTAATTCAACAAATCTACATTAAATCTGTTGAGAGTTAGAAGTAAAGGATAATAATAGCTGCTTGAAGTATTACTCTATTGTTCTATGATTGGATTTAATCTGAGGGATCTAGTCCCACTGATAAATGCTCCCTATCCCAAATAATTAAAACTCTCCTTTTTCCATCCCGATAGTAATAACATGAAACAAGTATTTT